CCTCCCCGCCCTGTCCCTGTGCAGAGCCCAATTCGGAAACGGGAATCGCGACCAGAGCTCATCGCGGCGGCTTTGGTTCTGGGTATCTGGGTCAAACGGAGCCCTGTAGCCAAACACCCTCCACCTTTCCCGTCAGGAAGGATGGGCAGAAATGGAGGAAGTGACGGTGGGATGTTGTGGCCTGACTACATGGATAGACCAGACAAAAACCTCTATCACCAGGACCGATCTCCAAAATTTCGTGAAGTAAATGATGGCCAAAATTGGGAGTGGGATTAACTCTGGTCTAGAACCTTCTGATCAAACCCGCTCATTACGCTTTTATTAGTACAAAGTAAAGTAGCGTATCCTTCTGCTCCTTCCTCTTTTGCTTCCCCTACCAGCCTCCTTCTTCCCAGCCCACGGCTGGTCACTGCCACTGAGAAGCAGATGGTTTCCAGTCAAACGTTTCCATGCTCTATTTAAAAATCGTGAAACTCGGTGTCTCCGTAAGAACCACGGAAGACTATAAATACACCGTGTAAAATTATTGCTAAACCAATGTGCAGAGAAAAAAAGCAAGCCTAGGGTCATTTTTTAATGTAATAATTGAGAGAGAAATCCGCTCAGTGCTGTAGAACAATCTCTTCCTCATACTAATTTATCAAAAACACAGAAAGAAGATATTTTCATGGGTTTCTGTAGCAAGCCATTACCCAACTATCTACAATTCCATTAACTCCACGCTACCTACCCTAACAGGGCGATTGCCATTTAGTGAACTACAGTTGTATGTCTTCTGTCTGTGCAAAAGTAACTCCTAGTGATATTTAGGATTGCCATCTGGGCTATAACTTCACGTATGTCCCCACGAGCAGATATATAATTTCATCAGGCTGCTAGTGCTGTGAACATAACCCAAGCGAGCCTGTGAACAATGTTCCTATTTATGACACTTCCCAATACTTCTCTTTGGCGGAAGGATATAAACCGGCGTACTCATTTTTTATAATTTTTCCTTTAGCAGAGCTAACGAGTTGGTCTTTAATTTAGTAGAACCCCTGCTTTCTGTGAGCTAAAATTCCTTGCTCTCTTTCTCATACTAACACCTCGCAGAAAAGGGCTACAAGCTCTACAATTCGTTGTCCTAGGCTTTACAGTATTAGAAAAAAATCAAGAAACTCTAAGAATTTTGGCTTTAAAATTTAAATATTAGCTTTAATACTCGGAATTTTAGCAAGATGGTATTCCTTGGTCATAATATTTGACAGCTTTGTAAAAAAATGTGTCAGTCGTGCAATTGGGCTAGAAAGGCTGTAATTTATTTCAATTTTTAAAAGATAAGGCAGGAGTAAAAGCACTAAGAAAAATGCCTTTGTCTGGGAAGCATTTATCATGCATCCATCGCTTTTATGCAGGCACCTTTGAGAAAAGAACTGAAATTTAAGGCAGACAGTTCAGGGTATAAACGTACACAGCACAACAAAAAGAAAGCGGAGCATTTTCTCCACTGTGATAAATTTTGCTATTAGCCTTTTGCTCGCTCTTTCACACCCTTTATCAAGCTCAGAAATTAATCCTCTCTCATCTGCCCGCAGAACACGGAGCCAGTTAAGCTCAGAGAGAGGGGAAGGTGCAGTATTGTTATATCCCAAGATCCTCTCTGTAGTTTGCACAGACAGAATGCCCGTTTGGGTTTACTTTTCAGGAAAGAAGTAGGATTTCAGTCACCTTGAAATAATGTTTTGTGTGGTTTTGTTTCCACATTGAGTCCCTGCATTCCATAATGAATTTGCCAAAGCTGAGCTATAAGAATCAAAAAAGCTAAGGGACAGAAAAGCAACATAACTTCTAACACTGTCCAAGTCAGATCTTTCTCTAAAATGTAACATATATGGGATTGCTCTTGCTTACATGATGGTTTACATTCCTCCAATGAAGTGATACAGTAGTTTTTCAGCTTTTTCCCAGCCTTTCTACCTGTTTAAATGTTTTTTCACAAAAAAGATGTATCTCTATTTGCTTCTACTTTTCATTTTCCTCTCAGAAATGCAGTACTTTACTTAGACATATTTACAGTACATTGTAGTTGCTAGTCTCAGTTATTTTCTAATAAAATAGGGATGCTAAAGATCTCTGCTGTAACCTGGAAATAACTATCAGTTTAAATATAAAAGATGATAAGTAATATTATACATACAAAGCTAGAGGCAACACGTTCACGTCGCTTAACAAGAAAGATGATCAAGTTCTAGTAAAAATAGTATTCTTGAATACATAAGAAAAATAATATGAAATGAAACTGTCAGAGTCATCTGCAAGACAACTTATGTAAATTCAAGCTTAGTGCAAGCATTGATTTTATGTTATGCTTGCCTGAGGTATTCTCAAATGTATAGTGTTCAGTTGCTGTGCTAACTTTGTTTAAAGACTGTCTTCATCAGGCAGCCAGTATATGATGTTTTTCTTGTACAGTTTTCATCGTATTTTTCTCCATGTATTAAGGCTTTTCCTGTATAGACAACTCAATTTCCACTCCATTTAGTCAAGTGCCACTGACAGCAATTCCAGAATTTGAGTGGGTTTTTTCCATCTCTTAATTTGAAAAACTGTATATCCTCCATACCTCCCTGTCACCAGTTTGACGACTTGCATCTTGCAGGAAATAACGTAACTACTTGACTCTGAGGCTTTTGATCACACCGTTTTCTGAATGAGCAATCATTTGCAACTAACAAACAGAGCCACCCTTCCCCTAAAACCAAATTACCTTTACGCATGCAAAGAATGGTAGCTTTTCAAAGGCTGAGTTAGTTATTATCCAGCAGAATAATTCCAATAACATTTACTTAGACGGTATCCTTTTTTAAAAACAAAGTCAGCACTGCATTTCTGCAAAAAATGCATTTCTATGGAGCAGTCTGGGCCAAACTATATGCAATTCCTCAGTAAAAGGTACATTTAACTGCTGTGTGTAAGGCCAAACCATCTACACTACAAAAAGAAACACCTCAGGCTCTCAATAAAACTAACAAAATCACCTTCTTTTTTTTTGTAAGTGTGAATTTCATTATTTCATATCCGTATTCCACAGAAATGTGACCACGCAATTACTTGTACCCAATGGTTACCCAATGGTGTCTGACTATTGTAAGTTACTTATCACTTAAATACCTTTTGCAAACCACTTATATGCAAATGTTTTGCACTGCCAGGGATGCTGCTGCTGGGAGAAATGAGCCACATCCTTGAACCTGTAAACATCAGAGACTATTCACTAACAAGTGTGTGCAATAGAAAGTAAGAACTTAAATCCCATAATACTAAGCGGTAGAGATGCTAAATTAACTTTTTAGTAATAATGTGAATAGTGCAAACTGATTTCAATGAGTGATTTTCTGGGATAGCTTTATACTTCATAATAAAGTAGATTATGAGAGGTTTCAGCATGACTCAAAGGACATCACACAGTGAATATGAAGTTAGCCTAGGCAAAAACACATTTTTACCCGTTTGAAGCCAAAATAAGTTATGGGACTGAAGAAAAAATTAAATTAGCACCAAATTTTAAAAGAAGAAAATACTACTTAAAAATACATCTAAGTAACTCATGTCAAAACAACTGAAAGGTTTGTGGTAACTGTCTTAAGTTGGAGAAGACTGAGAAAGAACCTATGCTATGGTGTAGACTACACAAATGTTGACAATGTAGGATATTCTTTCCCTCTGTAAAGCTGTTTGTCGTACACTATTCATTAAGCAAATACGTACAATTGAAAGTACCTTCTTCTTTAAGTCTATGTGATTTACAGGGGAAGTTAGTGAAGGGATGGAAAAAAAAATCAAGCCTTTATTAGAAAATTTTTTGGTTAATTACATTTACCTTGTACTGAGGCTTGCAGTTTTTGTTCCAGTAGGTGACTCCAATCCTTCTGCTGGCTTTGAGGATTTCTCTCTGTTCATTTGCTGGAGTATTGAGTTCAATTCACTAATAACATTAGCCTTTGGGCCTGAGAGAATTGGGCTTTTCACCTCCGTCATGTCACCCCATAGCTTAGATGTCCTTTGGGGAACAACTTTAGCCATATTGGGCTGTGCACTGATCGGAGGTGGGGGTGGAGCGGGAGGAGGAATAACAAAGCTGTCTACAGTTTCTTCAATTAGCGCGTCCTTGTAAAGTGCATTGCTTTTGTTGATTATGGGCTTCATTTTTGGCTTAGGAGGTACTGGGGGTTTGTCCACCAGAAATGTTTGCCCATCTGCATAGACTGTACAAGTATCCACGTTCTCACCCCCTTCTGAGGATAAGGTAGAGATGCTGGACACCGTTGAGATAGTGCTGGTTGTCTCTAAGTGATGGTCACTACTACTTCGACTGTCTACCTCCTCAATCCCAGAGTCAGTGACGTTATCAAAGCTGTCAGGGGGTGGCAGAAAGGAGGCAGGCAAACAGTTTGAAAGATCCACTTGCTTTTTGCTGTCTAAGGAATTTGTTGACTGGCTGGCGGCAAATGGCGCGGGTGAAGGCGTGCCATTTTTCCTTTGCTTAATCAAGTCTGTTAGAGCTGAACCGGGAGCTGCGCGGTCGTCGGGGATATCAAAGCTGTTGGCGAACTCTAAGGGGGGTGGTAGTGGCTCAGTAAAAATAAACTCTTCATCGATATCAACTGATGCCAAGGGTGGCGGAGGGATGCGGAACGGCAAGATGACAGGGTCGTCAACAGAGCTCGCTGCTACGATGGTTTTGCAGGGAGATGCCGGTGGCTCAGGCGCAGCAGGCACGTTCAGCTCACTTTCTGCTTCCTCACTCCCCTCTGGCCTCTCTGGCAGGGAGTTTTCGGGGTTCGGTTCCATTTCAGCTCTCTTTTCTTCTTCATCTTCGGGTGTATCATCTGGCTTTGCTGTGTCCACAGTATGGACCATTAACAAGCCAGCTGACTTTTGCTGCGAAGTATCCACAATGTTTATCAACATGTTTTTCTTCTCCTCAGCTTTCTTTTCTTTCCCTGCATCTGTTTCATACTTGTTCTCGGTCTCCTGCCGTCTCAGTGGGCCACGAGTATTTTGCCTAGCGACAGTAGCAGTAACAGGAAAAGTCATTTCAATATTGGGTCTCAGCTTTGTATCGATGTAAAGCGGTTTATTAAGGTCAGCTTTAACAGCGTCTCCTTTGCCTGGAATCTGCTGTGTTTGCTCTTTCATGGCTCTGTCCCTGGCAGAGAGAGCGAGGGCTAGCGGTGAGTTTGGGTCTAATAGCTTTCCTGTGACCGGGTGAACGTAATTATCTGAGCTGGATGCATTCGTGGACTTAGCTGCCACTGTGCTGTTTTCAGTACCTTTCGTTTTGGACGAAGCATTTAATGTCCTTGAATCACTTTGATTGCTGGGTTCACTGCTATTAAAAAGATTTTCAGGATCTCTAGGTGCGGGAATCGGAGATGGTGACATAAGCTGTCTAAAACCATCTTCACTACTAAACATTGCTTCATCAGTGAATTTAGATTGCCTCATACGTGGTGTTGGTGGTGTTAGTCCAACATCCTCATCTCCTAGGTCTGTGGAAAGGAAGGCTGGAGAATTCCGTCTTGCTTCCAGCCTCTTTTCCCTGTCCCTCACTGCTCCAGCGATGGCTGCTGCAAACGGACTGCTGACACCCAAGCTATCATCAGGTCGGAGCTGCCCAGGTTGCTCTGAAGACTGAGGATCGATTTCCATGCTGCTCCCTTGGCTGCTTTTCCCACTGCTGCTGGTGGACGGCTCTTTCACAATGATTGTTGGGATTGGAATAGAGCAGGTCTTTTCTGGACTATCTTCAACATTGGATTGTTTTACCAGCATCCCCTTCCGCCTCGCCGGCTTGGCTGGCACATAAACTGCTTTGCTTGCAATCTTCCCAACCTCAGAATATGGGTTTTCTGGCATCTGACCTCTCTTGTTCCTGAAATTTGCCTGAGATGCAGCACTCCGACTGTACAGGTCTTCAGAGTCCAGAGAGTATCGGTCCAGTTCTCGTCTGTAATAGATCCCTTTGTCCCTTATCATTGTTCCCACGTTCTCAGGCCTAACCAAAGAAATTTTTGAACCTGAATTCTGATTAAATGGAGGTTTAATAGTTCCATAGCTCCTTGATGTTGGGGATTTGGGAGAGTTGTACAGAGAGGGAGAAGGTGGTGGTGGTGAAGGAGGTAAGGACTGTGGTGGTGGTGGGATATCTTCAGAGGTGTCAGGCATTGAAAGACTTCTGGTAAACTTCAGCATAGGAGGAGCCAAAAACTGCCGTTCTTCCTCTGTTATTCCTAAAAATCAGAAAGTACGTTTAAAACACTGTCTTCCGCTGGGATTCCTCATAATTGTGTCACTTCTCTATCCAACCTAAAATGGCAGGGTGCATTTCACATGACATGAGGCATATGCAAAATGATGAAAGAGGTCTTTTGGTTGATTCCTACCATAAGCATTCTTTCTTGTTGAACTTCCAGAGACCCAGATGCCAGAATTAAAAAGGATGCAACAGAATTTTAATTAAACTGATCATTGATGTGTAGGCAAATGTTTTGGTTTTATGTATCATCAAGGTAGCTGTAGAGAAGCACATTTTCTTTGAAAATTATTGAACAGGGAAGACATTCTTTGCAGAAGAGTAGCTTATGCCTTGCTCTAGCACTCTATAAATTCATATAATAATGCAACTTAGAAACCTAATGAATTTTTAAGACACATTTGAAACTTAGCAAAGGGCCTGTGAAGATTCTATTGGGGAAAAAAATCATAATGTTTCCTTTAAGAAGATGACATTATATTATTACAAATACAGTTTTTAACATAAACAAACGGGATAATATTGGGATAATTTAGATGCAAATTCTACATTAGTATAATGCATTTCTAAATTGATAAATATCACTACTAAGATTACTACCAAGAACAAAGCAAGCCCAAATTTGGTCTGCTCTTTTTTTCTCTTTTGTAAAATCATCTATTGTCATAATTTGGAATGAAAAAGAGGTGAATTTTATTCCATTTGATCAATAGGGATTCTTTTGTAAACTAGACAGCATTGCCTCAATAACAAAGAACAAAGGAATAACATTTTGCCCTAGGTAATGCATTGCAAAGGTCTTGTACTGATCTTCTTTTTTTCCTTCTCACTGCCTTTCCTTGTTAGAGGGAACATTCTAAAGAAAGGAATTAAATTGTAATTCCATAATACTTGCCTACTGCCATCACAGCAGAATGTGCAAACTATATCACCTTACACACAGACTTCTTTTCTCATCATCTTGCCTTATATAAAAATTAAACAGTCATTCACTGAGGTAGAGGTGCTGGAGAAATATACTTTAAGAAAGAAGCAAAGTTACTAAAAGTACATGATTAATGCACAGGCAAACGATACATGAGAAGCATTTTACCTATAGATTTTTGTCTTCTCATTGTACCCCGAGGTATACCCAGAAAAGGACCTTGAGGACTCCCTGGTACAGTGGGCGTCATCACAGCAATACTCTGTCTCTCATACATGGACTACAAAAAAGCAAACAAAAAAACCCACAAGCGTTAAAGCATGCAAGTCTTTCTCTCACATGTAAATAACCCTTCTGTCATATCTGGTAATCCACTACCCCTTTTACTTAGAATTCTTATGAAAAATAACAAATTTGATATTATTTTGAGGAGGAGGTGAAGAGAAAGGGAAGTCTGGGCTTTATTTACATGTTCATAAAAAGACAACAGGTGTAAGTGGAGTTAGTTGAAATTATTTACAAGGCAATATGTTACGTTTCCAGCACATTTTGTGTGCTGTAAGAAAAACGGAGCATGATTGTTTCATTCACTTCCAAAAAGCTAGCCACACACTGCATAGGTATTAATGTTCACTCTGCACCAAGCTGTGTGCTCTCTTCGCTTCTGAAGAACAGACCTGTTCTTGGAGTCTTGCACAGACTCAAGGTGTCTTGCACAAGGTTACGCTGGCAGTCAGCATCTCAGCTAGGAACCGAGGAACACCACCCGAGTCCCAATGCACTCAACCGTCCCTCCTTCCTATAGGTCATCACAAAATTACTTGTTTTCTGCCTTTTAGAATAGCCTTAATTTCCTTCCATCCCAAGCTGCTGAGAACAGCAAAGTGCTCGTTGTATCAGGACTGATGGTCTTTCAGAGGGGTGGGTAGTGGAAAAATACATCTAAAATGCAATAAAACCAATTATTTTTTCACATGCAAAGTTCTGTAAGAGCAAATTCTGCAACTGAGTAATCCAATTTCAGAGTTCTGGAGTTTAAATTTTTAATATGTGCTATAGTATTAATGTCAATTCTTCCCTTACAAATCATTATGTATTATTTAATGAAAATATTATATATGCCATTAGGAATAATAAAAACGTGCAGCAGGAGAAATCTTCACATTAGTGGAAATTGTGTGGCTGCATTAACTCTGGCGCTGAAACTGAACTAACATACCTTGACTTTCAGCAAAGTTTTTTAGCTTGGGTTTAGTGTTGTACTGACACCTTCAAGTTCAGAACTTACTGGTGTCTCACCAGCTCAGGTTACCGGCAGAACAAGTACACATCTGTTTGAATAACACTGAGGTAGCAATGTTGATGTGACGGTCTCAGAATAAATGTAAGGATATAATGAGAAAAGTTTTATAGGGGTATGTAGACTCTTCTGTTAAAATACTATTGTTAGAAATGCAGACTAGACCATGTCTTAAAGTTACAAGATAATAACAGCCAAATGAGTGTATAAAGCAATGTTTGTAAATTCATTTCTGTTGTATGCCTCGCATGCTGCCAAAAGACCCCCTCCAATCAGTTTCAGAAATGAAAGCAGTACTTCAGAGTTATCACTCACACTCATATCTGTAGCTGAGGGAAAACATCTACTAGAAGGCCGCTGTTTAATAGTTGCCACTCTTGAGTCCACAGTTGCATTGTCTGCGATTCTTGATGGCTTGGAAACTGGTACTATTTCATCCACTTTATCTGTAATATAAAAGTATTCAGTAAAATAAATATCATTTGTCCAAAACCTGAAAATTTAAGTATTGCAAGGAAGAGATTTACTTTTCAAAAAAATGCAAAGAAAAAGTTTTTTTGGCATTTTAACAAGGCAACGCTTGAGCATCATAAGTCGTGCAAGCCGAGCACTTTTTATTGCTGCTACATAACATGCATGCTTTAGTTTTAAGCCTGCATGCATTTAATGTTTACTTAGTGTGACTCGAAAAACAATCCTCTTCTTCAAACCTTCAAAATGTGAAGGGAGAATATCTATATAGAAATGGAAAGAAGACCTTTAGAAATAATGAATCTGTACAGCACTGTTTCAAATAAGAGATAAGCAGACTGTACTTAGTCATCAGACGTTCAGTGATATTTTGGACAATAACAAGTACTCCAGAAGTGCTCTTTTATGCCTCTTCTTCTTCAGTAATCGCATCCTAATTTATTCACACTCTTGGATTATTAGATTAGCATTAGTAACTGCATCATTTGTTTAAATGAAACTTTTATATGTATTTTACATTTTAATAACTGGACAATCTGGGAATGTATTTAGCTGTGGCCAGAAACAGACCAAATAATAGGCAAAGTCCAAATCTGAATGAGAATGTCAACATTTGGATTTGGGATTCTGATCTACCATATGACGTGATGATAAATATAGGGAAAACTTTAATCAAGATCCTCCGAAACTCAGAGTGTTAGTTTTAGCTCCATCTCCAACTTTGGTCACAAACCAGGTTCATCAGCATTTAATATATAACATTACTCCCTCAGACTGAAGACCTCAAAATACCATATAATCAACTAATTATAGCCTGACAGCTGCTTTATTGACACTTCTACTACTACGACACTAAGGCATGGAGAAAATAAATGACTAGCCTAAGCCAGCAGAATAGTTAGATTTTTGAATCTGTACTGGAATCCAAACTTGAATCATACCAACAGGTTTCCTTACTGCACCTTCCATTGCATTTGCTTTCCTGTATCGTGTTAATTTAGTGTCTTATCCTTTGAAGTTTCACCAAAGTAAGGATTAGTTATATAGCCTGTGGTATTTATGTGAGTGAAATACCTTAGCCTGGCTCCTAGGCTTCCACAACATTCAGAGCAATGTTACTTTCCAGCAATTAGATCCATCTCCCAAATGATTGATTATTTGCTTCAGCAAACAAGGGTAGCTACTTCATTAGGATACTATAGAGAAAAAACCCAGTTTTTTGGTGGTCTAAAGATGGTGTTACTATGCCAAGTATCAGATTTAGGGATTTAAGTTTTACCTCTCACTGGAGAACAGCACACTCAGGGCCCTGGATATGGATATGGATGGGAATAAGGCAGGAGGAAAAGAGCTTTTGATCCCTCTAAACAGTAGATCTGGCTGATGCAAGGATGATATTTTAAATGGGAGAAGAAGAGAGGGAAGAACTTTTAGCCTTCTGGTTAGGAAGAAGGTTGTCCTAGAAGTGGATATTTCAGTGTCACAGAGGGTCAGGGAGCAGGCAGGAAAGGAAAGGAAAGGTTGAGCAGAACCAGTAAGCTGAACACTGTTGAAAACTGTCTCACAAGAGTAGTGTTGCTGTTTCTTTTCAATTGAAGTTAGCATTCAATTCTTTTCATTGGTCTGCTTTATTTTTGTATGTTTTAAATCATCCAGTGGAAGGAGAAAAGGAAAAAAGTTCTTAAAATCATCACATGTATTCAAAAATAAAACAAACTTCAAGTCACATTTCGTAAGACTTTGTAATACAAACTGTGAACTTCTGAAAGAAAAATATCTGCACTTCTGCTCAGCAAAAGGCATCAGAAAGCAATGGTGTAACCTTCAACATTCGACCTATACAACAAAAATACGGCTAGACTGTAAAATCGTACTCAGGGGATCTATCACCAAGAGCTTCAAGTGGGCAGAGATTTCCTGTTACGTCTCTCCCACCCTTTTTATCATCCCAGAAGCCATACAGCTGGTCTTTGGGATACAGAAAGAAAGAAGTTTTGGAAACTGAAGCACTGGGTACTCAAAATCTGTAAATAAGAAATATAAATATACCATGTAAGAACTGATCCCCTTTATTTTGAACAGACACATGTAACCATATACCCATTCAGACAACAAAAAGCTACAGGGAAAAAGTGATGAGGCTATGACAGACACTTGAAAAGCATGAAAATATTTGTTTGGGGATGAAACATACATACCCTCCAACTGCACTGATTTTGCTAGACAATACTGGGAGTCAGATCCTAATTTTGGATCTGACCAAAATATCAGTTGGTACCAATTCATAATACCATCTACTATTTCCAGTTGGAAAAAACTTTGCTGTGTGTGAGTTTATGGCAGGTTTCTTGTCTGTAGACAGGTTCTCAGTCCTTCTCACCCTCTAGCTGCTCCCACTGAAGAGGTGCTTCGTGCCTTGCCAAGGCTAGCTAAAGCACTTAGAAATGGGAGAGCAGGTTAAAGCTTAAGCTGCTTTGCAGGGAACTCTTTAGGGGTTCCTTGCATTACTATTTCCAACGGCAGCACTGCCACGCTTGCACAGCTTCTTCTTTTGTTCTACTGCCTTTGATCAGAAAGCAAAGGTAGAGTGGAGGTTGTCATTTTAAAACTTCAACAAAAAATGTGAAGCTACAGAAGCAGCCAGCGTGTGGAAGGAGATTTATTCTGAATGGCAGCAGCTACATGGCGGGTCCTGCAGAATATGTCAAAATATTAGCATCTGGCCGCGACTGCACCACACTTTCGAAGTGAAAGCACTATATAAAATAAAAACATTCTCACTGTATTATCAAACGTGCTAATTAGGCCAAGAAAATTAACGGGCTGAATTGTACTTAGCTTCATTCAAACTCATCCCAAAGCAGTAAGACGTAAGCGTATTGGGACAAACTTTCACTTGCCTTTGCCTTTAACTAGGCTGTTCATATCCCCAGCACCAGTGTGCAAACCATGTATGCACCAGGAACACATGTTCAAAAGGCCGCACATACTGGAACAATTTGTCAGGCTTACTAATAGGCTTCTCTCCCAACCTCCTTGTGATCTTAAATACTCTGCAGCATGCATTTCTTGTACCAATGAGAGGGCAATCTTACAAGCTTGTGTTGGAAATTCTCTGAGGATACCTTTACAAACAGTTTTAACAAGAGAGAGATAAAAAAGCCACAGAACGGGTGCAAAAATGTGCACCCGATGTAGAGGTGTGCCGACAGCGTGGCCGAAGAAACACGTCTCCAACGGTAGTCTTAAAAGGAACGCAGCTGGATGTAGGCGGAAGGGAAGAAATATTCTGTAGTGGAAAGAGCCTACATTGGAGGTTGGCCATGGCAGCTGCCTTTCCTCGTTAAACCGGTCATTTAGCAAAGTACAGCCACAAGCACACACGCACGCACACTTATAAGGGAGCAATTTGTGGCTGACCGATTTGTAGAACAACAAAATACGATCTGCTTTGTTTTGAATAACTTCAGTCTCGCAGCAAGACAGGGAAGAAGAGTCTATGGCTCACTGGGCAGAGAGCACAGCTCAGCTGTAATCATCGAAGAGGATTTTTAAGCCTACAATTATTCTCTAGTATATGCCAGAGGAGGAATTCACCACTGCTTTGCCATATAAACTCTTCTGAACTTTTACGAGAAGTTACAACGGCACGTTGAGAGTCAAACACAGGAGCCATGCTACACCTGTGATAATTAGTTACCACCGCTCAAGGGGCTCCTGGTAACAGCATCCTTTCAGAGAACTGTCAGGGATACCACATGTATAAGCCAGTCTGATGCCTCTGCATGCATATAGCAATTTGAGTGCCACTATATTAAATTCCCCCGAGAGAGGCAGCACCAACAGATATAAAATAATTTATTGCAAAGTGCATTTCCATCTGCCCTGTGGGTTACAAACTGCACCCATGCCCTGCTCAGGGTGCCAGCCCTCAGGAAATTAGATGGCCTAAAGGCACAGAAAGTAGTTGCGTTTTATCAACAGGTAGGTCGTTTCTGATGAAAAGCTCTTAATCACAGACATAGTAGCACAGTACCCAACAGCGTGTCATGACTTTTACATTCTCAAGAGCTCTGGCTGCTAGGCAAGTTGCTTTTTTTTTTTTTTCTTTTTCTTAAATAATTAATATCTGTGATAATTGCAGGGGACAGACTTCTCCTAATAGATTTGTTGCAGGAGAGGGCTCTTATCCCCGTAGAACACATTGCTTAGTGACTCCTGTTTCAAATCCCCAGACTCTCTCAGAGGAAAAATTATAATGCTGCCCATCAAACCACCAGATCCATCATAAAAGGAACTTTGAAAATGAGAGTCAGCTGCCGAGATAGATCTGGTGGCACATCACTATACAGGCCCCAAAAGATAAATATGAGGTATGATCCTGGCAACATTACTTATTGTACGACATAGCCAAGACATGTGGATTAGCTCCACCGAGGGTCTTAGAAAGTGAGCTTGTCAGACCCACAGAGGATAAGAATGATCATGATCCGGTACAGGCTAACCCCAACACCTCAGGCTGGCATGCCAGAAACACCAGGCAAAGACTGATAGAACACAGTTTTGGAGGCGAGTATTGCCAAGACCTGCATACTTACCACCAAGTCCAGAATGCTTGCTCAGAGGGGGTGGGATAATGGAGAAAGAAAACTCAAAAAACAGCTGCCTCAAGAAATGACTTGTATTTGTAAGAAAAGCAATGAATGCCTAGCACAGAGTAAAAAAATGCTCGTATGAAGTTAGTGAAAGAACAGAGGCAAATGTTCTTCAAATACCAGCAGCACACATCGTTAACAGTGCAAATATAAACTACAAAATGTTGGACTAATCTAGTCAGCCAGAACACAATGTTAGCCAATGTAGGAAATGGTTGGATTCTGCCACTGATGGCCTTATGGCTAAGAATTAAAAGGACAGGCACATTAAAAAAACCCCTAAAAATCCTATGGTGTGGTTATTTTTTCTTCCCTCCCCC